TTAATTCTTAATCTTGTAAAGCTTGTGAAGCCTTAATTATAGGTCCTGGATCTTCTAGTCCTACCTGATTTCCTACCATGGCAAACCTATTCCATAGCACTTATTTTTGGTATCAGTAAAGAATGATTGAATTTGTAGTGATGTACTCTTAAACTTTGAATGTCACTACCAGATTAAAATTATCTGTTTATTCTAGTGCTTTACCTGATTCCCTTCGTAGTGTCTGTTTATACTTATTATAAATATTAGTTCAACTATATTGAAAAATTGCCTGATCTATCTAAAGATCTCTATCAATTTGTTGTTACAGACATGCTTACACACTATAACTAGATTAATGGTTTCTTCTTGAGAACTATCTTACCAGAGAGTAATGTAGAATAAAAAAAATTGCTATTTATAGCATTAACCCTGACTTACGTAGACTTTTATAAAGGAACTAAATTGACCTCAGATTATCTCATTCTCTCATCTCCCTCAGAGACACCCCCCTGACTTTATTTGCTTGCGTCAGGCCCTACCTTTCAAAGAAGACACAACCTCCAAAGCATGTCTCAGGCTGGCAACTGGGCCCTTTACCACATGGCCAGTGGGGGATATTTGCAATCCCAGCCTCAGTGGTATCATCTGACTATATAGATGAGAGCTGAAGTTGTAGAATTTCAAAATAAAGTTGCAATGCAGAGAAGTCCAATTTTAGAAACTTACCTTTTTTCTTGTGTTTCTCAGTTGTTTGGATTCACCTCAGTGGAGTTCCCACGCACTAATGGAGACCAGCTGATTCTGCCCCAAAGTATTCCAAGATGACATCACTTTTCTCTTTAACTTTGAGTATTCCAGCGCTTGATACAAGGATGTTGAGTGCATCTGCTTCAGGGCTGAGTCACATTGACTACTTCATTCAGCTGATGTCTAAAACTAAGAATTCCTGTTGCTTATTTATAGTGGGAAGTGTAATCGGCACACTGTCCAAAATATTTATGTTGGCCCAGCCAGGGCCAAAATGTGATTAGAAGAATGTATGTTAAACATAAGATCAGAACAGAGAAGTGAATGATGTTAGATAAATCACATATCTGGTAGCACTGTTTTCATACCAGGGGAAGTTCATCCTTCTCAGATGAGAAATATTTAAAGTCTGTAGGGTCTACCCCACCCCTGAACTACCTGCAGGATATGAATGAATGCATTGCCGATCACGGTTTTCCCTTTGCAGGATCTTACATCCGTACCCCTTTTCTTACACATTTTATCTACCTGATCCCAGAGATCACTTGCATTTCTAACTCCTACCCTAAAAGGTAATTTCATTGTTCAATTACTTGGGTGGTGAAGAGCCATCTCATGTACTAACAGAAGTGCGTGTGCATGAATTAGGTAGCTCCAAGTAAGAAAAAGAGAAGAAAAGGGTCTTGAGGAAAATCAGAACAGCAGTTAATTTCTGCAACTGCCACATAAGGCAGCCAGCTGCTTTGGCTGTTGCAAGTTGGCTTCTTGGATGGAAAAGCTCTGCAGTTATGTTGGATGGAAGCTGTGGGTCGGGAAAAGAAGTCTGTGTGCGATAATGTAGATTGGAGTGACAAGTGGTCACTGGCACACCGTTGCTGCTGTATTCATCTTGCTTTCTTAAAACGGCTACATGTATAGGCTAAATCCATCTCTGGCCCCTGATCTTGGGCCAGAGATGGATTTAGCAACGGTAAAGTGTGAGAGCCGATAAAGCTTTTTGATTGAATCAAGCGGGGAAATATATCCTGTGTGTTGTTTTTCTGTATTCCTTCCTGAAATGATTCTTCCTTTTCTTTCCCCATTACAACCTTACCAGCCCAGGCTTTAGTTCCTTCCAGACTAACGGCTTGAAACTTTGGTTTCAGAATGACTGCATGGGAGCCTAACAACCAGTTAGATAGTTGTTTAAAGCATAAATTCCAAGATTCTGATTTACTGAGTCCAAAGGAGGGGCCCAAGAGAATGCATTTTTTAAAAGCTCTTCATGCTGAATACAGATGTACAACCAGATTTGCAGATCTGGGACAGTCTTGAAGAGACATTGTACTTACTGCCATGAAACTACAACAGCATCCCTTTTACTTTCTGGTTTTTCCCTTCCGGTCTACTGTCAGGGTGGTATTAAACACACATGCGCACACATGCACACACGCACACACACACACACAAATGCATGCACATGCACACACACAATTTTTATGTTAATGCCATTGCCCTGAACAAATATTACTTTTCCATAGGATCAGTCTCATAATCTCCACTAGTGAATTTCCTGGTGCTAAAACCTATACATGCGTCTTCCTTGTTACACTTAATACAGAGCCATCTGGATGAGATTTTTATTTATATGGAGAGAATTTCATATCAGTGAGTGAGAAAATTGGACTTTGGTAAATAAAATTGTTTCACTTTTACATGTACTTTTTGATATGGATGGCTACATATATCCAGTTACTACAAGTTTAGAAGCACTTTTATTATTCATATCATAGTAAGAAGAGCAATAAAAATTTTTCCAATTTTAAGCAAACTTTTTTTACTCAGGCACGTGATCTGCACACATTCCATTACTTAATTCTTTGTTGTGGGAGGTAAGTGACGGTAGGTATCTCCACACTGGAGTAATTAAACTAAGTGTCAGGAGCTTTGAGATTTCTCCACCAGTCACAAATCCCCACAATTCACATGTTGAAAGTAAAATTTGAACCCAGCCTTGTTTGGTTCTACAACTTGGACTCAGTGAAGTTACCAGTTTTATTTTTCCCTTTCTAATTTTTCCCATCTCTCTTTAGCTGCTGTATGAAAAAGCAACCAAAGGTCCTCAGTTTTTAAAAGAAGAATATGATTCCCTAAAAAGTTGATAAAATATGCATGTCACTTGCCTTTGCTTTTGATAAATTTTATACAATGAACTTATAGCTTTCTATTGCTTTTAACTACAATTGTAAAGAAATGTGAGTCCAATATGAAAAAGCAAAAGCTAGACAGACGATGCTGGAAGGTGCTGGTCAGAGAAGGCCTGGTGGGTTTGATTGTAGCTTTCTTTCTATCTTAGAGAATAATTTGAAGCCACCATGCTACCCTTGGGTTTCTTTTTCACATATCTCCAAATGATAAAAGGTGGGAGCTCTGGGAGCTAAAAACGACATATTATGTGTTCCTTTCACTTTTAAAAAATGTTCCCAGTAAATTATAATATCTTCCTGGGAAAGTCATAGTGCAAAGAATGGTGGGAGAAGTTCTGTTTGCTAACTTGCAGGGAATCAGAGCTTATCACTTAGTGGTCAGCACGCTGAAAAGTAGATCTCTTTACATTGTTGTCCATTTTTCTTAGGCAGCGTGAACAAGCTGGAGACAATGATAAAAATGTCATGATCAAATCACAAGGAGACCTAGGTATAGATTTATAATATCTGGATCTATAGATATGCATTCTTGATGCATGTATTTCTTGGTGTCACTAAGAAAACCTGCTGTATTACAGAGTTAAAACTAGGAAAAATGTCTTTAACCAGAAGGATGCTCCTTTTAAATATTTTTCTTCCTAACAAGAGGTTACAGATGTGGATAGGTATAGGTGGTAGTGTTTGTGAATCTTGCATTGAGACAAATGTTCCATTTTTCCTCCATCATAAATCATTGTGGTTTAAGTGATACTTTTGACATGGTTAGCAGTCAACTCCTGGAGGACAGAAACCATATCTTATTTCTTTTGTAACTCTAGAAATGAACAGAAGGTGGCATATAGTAGGTATTTGTTTGCCATTTGACTCAATTTTGATCAGGGGTTCCCTGCTCAACTCTGATCCACTGTTATTACTGAATGTGTATCTGTGCTGCTTACCCATATGCAGAATCCGAATTCTCTAGCCAACCTGACTAGCCCACAGGCTCGCTCTCTCTGCACCTTTAATTCTGATTTTTTAAATTGTGTGAACCAGTACTGGCTACTGATTAGTCATAAACTACTCATAACTAGAGTGATGGAATAAAGAAAGTTTGCTAAGTTGCTATTGAGCTGTATGGAAGCAGAGTCAATATTCAGATTGACCTTGAACATAATAGCTGCAAGCAGAATTAAGAATATTAGGGCAGTACATTTCTTTTGAAACCTAAATATATCATGTGGACTTCGTGTGTGCAAGGTTTTTTGGGGGAGATTCATTGTGAGTCAGCAAAATACTGCTTTATTTTCATAATTATTGGGCACCCACTGCCAGCTAACCACAGGAACATAACATGTGGGAACTTCTGGGTAGCATTTCCAAAACATTTAGCATTAGTCAGATGCTTTTTTAGAATTCTGTGTCCATTTTGGCTGAAGGAAAATGTGGAGAATTTGGCAAGGGCTCAGAGCATGGCAAATCCACACAGAGGAGGGCTGGAAAATAGGACCTATTGCAAGAGGCTGATAAAGAAGAGTTCATTACTTAGCCTGGTCTAAGAGCACTGAAGGGTGATTCAATTAATGGTCTTCTGTTGCATATATAGTTATTATGTGGAAGATGATATAATTATTTCTCCTATGAATGGAATTAGGGAAATGAATTTACATTAGGGTTAACAGTGATTTTGAAAGAGCATAAAGAACTTCCGGACCTTAAGGAGTGTTGAACAATGGGAAGACTTCTCCACAGGAAGTGTGAAATACTGTTCCTTGCAGAATGGGATTAGGGTGGCTACTGCTTGCCAATTAAGCGTGGTGTAGTAGAGGCAGAAATTGCCAAATGTTCTAGATCCCATTTCATAGTGCTCATGTCATAGTGTTTGACATTTTCAAGAAGTAAATGGGTATGCCCCCTTTGTCTGTATTTTTGCATAGCCTTTATAGATACAAGATCTTGCTTATAATGTTTCTGTGATGCCTTTCAAGTAAACAGATTAAACTGTAAATTGAAAAGTAGTTTAACTGCAAATCTGCTTGCTCCTTATTCTTATATGAACCTTACAATCTTATCAATTCCAACCTTTTTAAAATTTTCCTTCTTTAGAAAATTCACTGCGTATCCTCCTCGCTTGTCTACAATGAGTGCCAAGTCTGCCATCAGCAAGGAAATTTTTGCACCTCTTGATGAAAGGATGCTGGGAGCTGTCCAAGTCAGAAGGAGGACAAAGAAAAAGATTCCTTTCTTGGCAACTGGAGGTCAAGGGGAATATTTAACTTATATCTGTCTATCAGGTAAAGAAAATGAACTTGATGTTGTTAAAATAACTTCTGTTTTAAAGCATTCAATTCTAAGGTATCCAGGAGAGCCCTGTTAGTTTTCTAAGTATCTGATGTTCACTTTTCTTTCCTGTTTTCCCTGTTGTCTTCCTCTGATCCCTGTTTACACATGACACCCCTATTTTGGAGGTTGCTTAACATCAGAAAGGCAGTAAAGTTTAATCTTAAGGCATTTTAAGCTCACTAAGGGTTTCTGAAAAGTTTGGCAGACATTTATGTGTTCATCCCTGCCTTCATAGGAAATGGTCTTTTCCTCTGGCGATTTTTGTTTTAGAACAATTCTTGGTGTTTGGATAATTGTCATTACTAGCAGCCTGAGTTTCATTTGCTTTCTTTTTCTAGAACATTGCCAATAATTAGTAATAGTTTGTCTAGAGATAAATATTGGCACATTCTAGAATGTGAGAAAGAAATGTTCACAAATCTTGGCTTTGCCTGACAGCCGTTGCCTTGTCAGGAGGAAGCATCTGTTTTATTAAGCTTAGAATTTTGTTGGATTATTTTTTTCTTGTTTGTGATTGTAGGAGATCTGTGGGATTTACTGTGGATTCATATCAAGTTTTTTTCAAGATAAAATTTGGATAAATTTTTTGTGGAGTTATGGATGATGCTAATCTGGACGCCTGGGGCATTTATATAATATTTTGATAGTATGTCTGGTAATGGCATGATGGAAGAGTTAAGCTTACCTTAATTCATCCTTTTAAAACCTCTTTCATTTGTGGTATGGGAATAAAACTTTATTTTTTGGACCCATTTTTAGCTTTAAAAAAAATAAGCATCTTATTATTTAAATTTGTCAGAATTCATTTCAACCTGGAAATAGCTTTTATCAGAAAGAACATATGAATTTACCTTAGATTAAAATGAAACAAAAACATAGCAATTTGGAAAGAATGACTTTTCAATGCTTAGAAGAAAGTGTTTCAATGCATATAAGGGAGTCAACTTGAAACATTGGTCTGTTTTTCCTAAAGAGGAATTGGATGATAAAATTTGGCTATTGTTAGGAGATATATGTATTTCTTTAGTGTGCTAAGCTGTACGGGAGGGGCCCAGTATTTAGTGACTAAGTGGAAGACAGAAGTAATCTTTAATTAATACTTTTCTAATATTCTTTAATAACATTGAGGTCTTCAGTATATTTTTATATTCTTAAATTTAGAACCTAGAATTTGTTTATGACACTCATGTACAGGATACATGCTGTCTTAGTTGTGCTGTCACTGAGACACAATACCCAACACCCATAGGTTGAAGGAGGAAAGGTTTCTTTAGGCTTATGTTTCATTCCATAGTCAGCTAGCCCCGAGGCAGGACAGCATGGCAGAGGGGAATAGAAGAGAAGAGTTGCTCATGGTGGATAGGAAGGAGAGAAAGTAATGGAAAAAGCTGGGAAGGGAGATTTATCCTTCCAGGTCTTCTGACCAGACCCCTACCTCCGGTCAGCTGTAATGTCTCCATAACACAATCACCTTCCCAGAGCCCCCCATGAACACATCAGCCACTTGGGGGCCATTTAGATATAAACTACTACATGTGCCAGTAAATTTTGTTTTGCATTTGGGCTGAGATGAACATGGGAAGAACACAGATATGTAATACTTCTATTTTTTAAGGTCTGTTCACTCAATATTTCCTTGAGGTTTCTTGTAGATGGGTATTTGAAGAAACGTCAGTGGCCCAGTGTGCAATAAGTATGATCAAACTACATGGTTAATATTTAAATTAAAATAATTATTAAAGCAAAAGACCCATTGCTATATATTGCCCTCAAATTACTCCCCATTGATTTGAACATACTTTTTTCATCATTCTTGCTACTTTCTGAAATACTTCTGGAAGTTCTCTTTCATGAGTCCCTATGAGGTATGATTAAAAAGAAAATACAGTGAATGTTGCAACTAAAACACTCATGAGAGAGAACTTCTCAGGAGTTCTTCAGAAGGTGGCAAGGATAATGGGATAAAAGTGTTTGAAGCAAGGGAGAACATTTTGAGGCGGGTTAACGGCAATGTATCTTTTGTTGTAATAAATTCTAAAAAACTGAAACATTCACTGTATTTTTTATCATTCTTCTTATACCTGTCACCAAAATGGAACTATTTTCTTTGGCTTTTAGGCATATGCTATTGTCTCCCTACTGCTGATCATAAAGTCTGCAAGAGCAATCCGGGGCCTCTAACAGCCTCTTCTCAGTGGAATAGCATAACCATTTGCCCTGTCACAGAAGATAACGAATGACCTAGCACTTACTGAGTAACTGCATTTGCTTTAGAAATTACCAACACCTTCAGGTTTAAAGGCAGACGATGAGAATTGCTTTTTTGTTGCATTCTAATAGAAAACAATTTCTTGTTCTGAAAATCTTCCTTTTCATGGATTTGAATTTTGAGAGGCTAGATAGATAAAATAGATCTGACATTTCATCAGATGGTACAATGGAAATTGGGGCAGGAAAAGGCCAGGCAGCTTTGACACTGTTTTTAGAGTTTGATTTTTTTTCTTCTAAGTGACTAGGAAGTAGGAACCATTATTTTCTAACTTATGTGAAACTTAGAGCCATATCAGTCCCAATAAGGTAATGTCTTAATTAGCAGTTTGTGAAGTAGTTTTTATTAAGTACTTTCTATGTGCTGAGTGTTCCAGGTGCTGAGGGTACAGTTATAAGAAAATGTCATTTAGTTCTGTGGAGAAGAAGCAGTAAGACATTAATGAGTTACTCACAAAAATGAACAGATTTATAGAAAAGGCCCCAGAGGAGAAATACAGATAAGAATCTGTGAGGGGAATCTGGCCTGGTTGGGAGAAGCAAGAGCTTTAGAAAAGTAGGGCTTCAGTGGGTTTGAAGAGGGTTGTGTGGGTGAGCAGGCATCCGAGCCGGGGGAATGGCAGCTTCATTAATAGACTGAGCAGGGTTTTGAGTTTCTTCTTTCCTCCTATCCGGTGTGACCTCTTTGTAGCCCACCACAGATGCAAAGCTGTGAAGTGAGAGCTGAGCTAGGGAACACTCTCCTTCCTGCCATTAGTGAGAACTTCCTGTGCTTTCTGGGAGCCCAGGCCTGTCAGCTATGGTGGTGGGGATGATGAAAAGCAGCTATTCATTTTGAACAGGCAAACTTTGTCCAAATTAGGGCAAGGTCTGCAAATAATTTTTAGCCACTCTTCACATACCAAGAAGCATTAAGTTAAAGACAAATTTCAGAGTGCATCATATATCCTCTAGGGAGTCAAAAAGGTGCTAAAGTAGGGGAAATGAGTGATCTTTTTTGAGTTATGCAGGCTGTAATCCTATCAGAAAAAAAAATAATCTTTCCAGTTCATTCATGGTGTCTTTAGAATTTAAGTGTCTCTCCTTGGACTCCCTGATTAACTACTTACGTGGTATAGGAGTGCTTATGTAGTGAGATGCTTCTGTGATTAGTATGCTTAAGCATCAGGTTTCACTTTACTTGTAGCAATGATAAAAATTTAAAACACTGACAACACTAAGTGCTGACAAGCACATAGAGTAACATGGTCTCTCATGCTGATAGGAAGGTAAAAAATGTTGTAATTATTTTGGTAAAAATTTTGGAAGTTATAATAAAGTCAAACATACACTCTATTCCTAGATATGCACCTGAAGGAAATAAAAACATACATCCACATAAAAACTTGTACATAAATATGCATACACTTTATTCATAAGGAAAAATCAGAAGTAATTCAAAATTTTTATATATTGATTGAATAAGCAAATTATTTTCTATTTATGTTGTGCAATACTATCTGGCAGTGAACAAGAGTGCACTACTAATACATGCAGCAACATGGATAAATTTCAGAAACATTATGTTGTCCAAAAGAATTGGGGGAGAGAACACTTCCCAAACCAACCATCCTTCCTTCCCACCTCTCACAGTTATGCTAACCATGTCTTGGAATTACCTTGGTCTTCTACAGGGTAAAACACTGTTTGTTTTGGCTGGTGGTGATAGTCTTGTATGCTAAAACTGGCTCTTAAATCGGCATATTAGATTATTAGTGAACATATTTTTACATTTTAGAAACTAATTTCCCATGGAAATTCAAAGTGTCTTCTGATGGGGATCTGGTCACATGTGAGTTAGTTTTGCTCAGTTGTGTAATATAAAAAGTAGACGCCTTACAAATTTTAGAGTTTTTTGTGGTTCTAGATCTTTGTGTGAAAATTAGTGGTGAAAAATGAAGGTTTTTTCCCCAATCCTTGTGAACAGGAGAATCTACCAATAGATAACTAAGAAGTTAACTGAAGTGATATCATTTAATTCCCTCGACAGCCTCTGTTGTTATTTCTGCTTTGCAGATAAAATAGCAAAGGCTGAGAGTTGGGAGTGTGCTGCCCAGGCTCTGGTGGCCAGAGGACAGCGCAGCCAAGACCCACACCTGGGTCCATCTGACTCCCTAGTATATGCACTGCTTAAATTTTTCCCAGAGCAGAGCTAGGTCTGAGGAAGAGAACTACCCCTTTCCCAAAACACAGTGTAACAACATTCCTTAACCAGGAGTTCTAATCTCTAAGGATTTAGAGGATGTGCTGGCGGCCACTTCAGTTTTTCTAGTGGTTTAGCACGCCAACAGAGTTTTCTTTTTCCATTCTCTCTTGTATGCATTCCAGTACTAAAACCAGATGGAAACAAGGGAAAGCTCTCAACAGAGGCGAATGCCAAAACATTTCATTTAAAAAGGAAACTCCATCTGTGAGCTCTCCCACCACACAGCCCACTGTTCAGAGCAGGAGTTTCACAGCTGACACACTCATGTTCGTTTGGATTAGTTTTGACTAATTGCAAAGGTAGAGCAAGTGGTGGTTGGAGAGATTGCAAACGATGGCAGTGCTCCTTCTGGAACGTGCCTAGGGAGGCTCTGAGTCCCTGGCAAGCGTCCTAAAGAACAGCCAACCAAAAAGGCACCGTTTCAGGCATGCGCATGAC